GGGCCTTTCCCGCCGGGCAGCTCTCCAGCCATTTTGGTGCAGGCAGAGCTCTTGCTCCCCTAGAAAATCCCCAGGCGCAATTTCGGAGTTTTCTCAGCCCAGAAGTTGCTCTCAACGGGTAGTTCAGACATGGCCACTCCATCCTGGCCTGTAAGAGAGTTTAGGTGCATAAATGCCAAACTTGCCAGTGGTCTGCAGAGCCCGTGTTTAGACTGTTGCATTTTTAAATTTTTGTTAAGGTGTCACCTGAAGGAATTACTGCCAGAGGCAGGAGAGGGACCCCAGTGTTCTGGTTTTGGGTCCCCAGTAGTTTCCTGTCCCTTCTAAATGGATTTCCTTGAATGTTTCAGGTTTTACCAGCAGGTGACCAGACAGAGGTGGGTGAAAATGGCGTGACACTCAGTGGGGGACAGAAGGCTCGAATAGCCCTGGCCAGAGCCGTTTACCAGGTAAATAGCAAAGGAGTCGTGCTGGGGCAGATTGTGCCCAGTGCCCAGTCAGGTGTGAAGGAGCTGGGAGCACCCAGCTGTACAACGTGCTCTGGCAGCGGGTCTTAAACGGCGGCGCGCTGGCCTCGAGGTGCCGGCAGCGTGCCACCCAGAGGCGCTTGCGCTTTCCTCTACAGCGCTGCCTCCTCCGGCAGGGCCACGAGCCATGTCCTTGTCTTTTGTCTCCCTCTCAGGAGAAAGAGCTTTACCTCCTTGATGACCCCCTGGCCGCTGTTGATGCGGACGTAGCCAACCATCTGATGCGGAAATGCATCCTCGGAGTTCTCAAGCACAAGACCAGGATCCTTTGCACCCACAGGACAGAGTTTTTGGAGAAGGCCGATGCCTTGTTGTTGATAGACAATGGCAGGATAGTTAAGACAGGTACACCGGGTGTCTTCTCGGGCGTGCGGTTGTGCCTGTGTGCCAAACGGCTTGAGCAAAGACGGACATAACGGGGTAGGATTAACTGTTGGGGAACCCAGCGATAAAGAGCTTGGGGGCACTGCATGTGGGCAAAGGTGGGGTGGAAGGGAATGTGCAGATGCACGGATGAAACAGGACAGTCCTGGGGGTGGGGAGCTGATAGGCAGGAGGCCACAGCAGGTTGCATGGAGCAGGGCCTTCAAGGGTGCTGCAAGAGAAAATAGGGCAGGTTGTGAGAGAACAAAACGGGGCTGTTTCATACCAAGCAGCAGGGAGTAGCTGTCATCTGTTCCTCACAGACTCTCAAGCATTTGCATGTCTCCCTTCGCAGGCACGCCAGCTGATATCCTGCCGCTCGTGGAAGCCTTCCCCAAGTTCAGGGATACGGACAGGAGGCGGAAGGATGAAGGTCTGTACTGGCGACCTTGGGGGTGGCTGGGGCGGCCCAGTTCAGCCAACCACCCAGACAGAACCAGTACCTGGCAGATGCTGGCCTTAGAGCAGAGCTCCCACCACCTTGCCCTGCTGTGGCAGTGCTGCTCTGTGGGGAGCAGACAGGGAGAGGAGTGCTGTGTATCGCTGGGTGTTGGTCTGGAGCAGTGTTTGAATCTGGTGCTCCGCTTGTGGTCCAGCTTTGGATGAAGGTCTGCCGGGATTGGTGCGCCTGTCTTGAGAGAGAAGGGAGGAAAAACCTCCCTCACAGCCCGGACTTGCTCTGTTCACAGCAAGGAGCAGCCGCAGGAGGAACTTAGGTCGCACTAACCTTTGCTTTTGCCTCTATTCCCTCAGCTCCTGATGAAGAGGGCCAGGAAGAGGTCGTAGAGAGAGAGGCAGAAGAATCAACCCAAACCAGTCACCTCATCAACAAGGAGGAAGAGAAGAAAGAAGGGGCAGTGACTTTTCAGGTGTACAAGGCATACTGGCTGGCAGTGGGCAGCTGCTTGGCGTTTTCTATCCTCTTCTCGCTCCTCCTGATGCAAGGTGAGGCAGTGGCCCAGCAGCACCTCTCTGTAGACGTTCCTCTCCTCTCATTCCCTGGCTGTGTGGAGTCCAGGGAAGAAAAGAGCCAGGGGCTTAATCCCTCTCCCTGCAGCAGGAAGCCCCCTTTTCTCTTCCCCAAACTAAAGTAGCACCATTGGGAGGGGGCACATGTGGGAACAGGGTCTGGGGTCTTGCTGCTGCAGTTGCATGTCTGCTGCTCTAGCAGTGCTGTCACTGCTGCAGCTCAAGGCTGTTCCCTCGCTCCTGCTCTATTACTAATGGTGGAGAATGAAGGCAGGGGAAGACTAGACCGGGCAGTAAGACAGTAACAAAAGTTGTCCAGCAGCTTCCCCTCCAGCTTTTCTGCTTCATATTTTCTGATTTGAAGGTTGAATCCCTCTTTATGCAGTCTGTCTTTTTCTGTAGCCTCCAGAAATATCTCAGACTGGTGGCTTTCACACTGGATCTCCAGCATATCCCAGACAGCAAATACGTCTGTGATGGTCTGCTCAGCTTCCCCGCCTTCCCCAGAGCTGCTTCTCTTCTCCATTGTTGGGCTTGTGTAAGTGAATCTGGTCAGAAGATGCCAAAGGCAGGTGGAAACACACTCCTGTTTTGCCCTTAAGTGCATTCCCTGTGAAGATCCTTGTTGAAAACAGGGATAAACTGACCACCCCGCTGCAGGGGACCTACGGGGCTGCTTTGACAAAGAGAAGCGAAGCCTCTGCCCTGGTAAGATGCCCAGAGGGCTTCTGCCTGGCACTGGTGGAAGACCCCTAGTGGCACAGTAATCAGAGTGTTTGTCCCCGTGGGTCAAAGGGGTGGTCTCTCACAGGAGTATCAGGTTGAAGTATCCTGGTTTCCCCTTGAGTGTGCTTTTGGGTTTGTCATGCCCTGTGAATTTACTGTCGTGGGGACCATGGCAGATTGCTGACCTTCCTCCTTCTGTGTTCCAGCTCCCCTGTTCAAGCTCTGGACACCACTCCAGTCCCTTCCAATGGTTCACTGGATGTGAGTTTCTACCTGATAGTTTATGGGAGCATCGCAGGGGCCAACTCCCTCTTCACCATTCTTCGGGCCTTCCTCTTTGCCTATGGCACTATCCGTGCTGCCACTGTCATTCACAACCGACTGCTCCAGAGGGCTCTAAAGGTAACGGCCAGAAAGTCCAGGGCAGGCTGCAGGGCTCTGCCTTGGCATTCTTCTCATAGTTTGGAGTAAGGGTGTGGGAGGTGGATTAGGGTTCCTGCTGGTGTTAGCTGCTGAGATCCCTGTAGGACTATATCCAAAAAGGGCTGCACCATGGCCAGCACAAGGGGCCAATGAGCTGGGGTTCACAATGTGTCCTCTAAGGCTTGTTCTGTTCCATGGAGGGGTGTTTTGTGGCTGCTGCCTGCACCTGTTTGTTCATCAGGCTTAGACAGATAGCCAAGATGAGCGACAATTGAACCAAAGTAGCTTTTGCAGGATCATGAGCTCAGATTCAGATGAGATTGGAAGGAGACATTAAGCAAGGTTTAGGGCTGGTGCTGGCATGTGCCAGTTAACTTTCTTCAGGATTTGGGCTTCCTTGGGCCCTTGGACTAGAGTTAGGATTAGAGGATTGGAAGATACGATTAGAGGCTTGTCTCAGCGGCTAGCGGTGGGCCAGTATGGGATCTGAGCGACTGCTGTCTTGGCAGCTGCCTGCCCTTCGCCACAGAGGGGCTCCTTCCTTTTGCCGTGCCAACAGCTGGTGGTGTTGGGCTGCGAGCGGGTGCCGGCTTTGGAGTCTGAGGTTTCTTCCCCAGCTGAGGAAAGGAAGGAAGCTGTGGTGACCGCCCTTTGTGGCCTGACGTGCTCCACTTGGTACTGCTCTCCTGGGTACCGTTCTGTGGCTGGATCTCGCTGCAGCTGACTGGCTCTTACTTTCTGGTTCCCTTGTTGCCAGGCTACAGTCACCTTCTTTGACACCACACCCACAGGCCGTTTTTCCTCAGACCTGTACTGCGTGGATGACAGCCTGCCATTTGTCCTCAACATCTTCCTGGCCAACATGTACGGGCTCTTGGGCATGCTGGTGATAATCACCTATGGCCTCCCGTGGATTGGTCTGGTCTTACCCCCTCTGGCCGCCCTCTACTTCTCCGTCCAGCGCTATTACCGGCGCACGTCCCGGGAGCTGAAGCGCCTTTACAGTGTGACCCTGTCTCCCATTTACACCCACCTGTCGGAGACCCTCTCCGGACTGAGCAGCATCAGAGCCATGAGGGCAACGCAGCGGTGAGTGGACAGAGCGAGCCCTCAGAGAGCCAGGGCTTTGGCTTCACAGACCAGGGCCTTCCTGCTGTGGGGCTGGTTACGGGGTGGCAGGAACGGAGATGGAGCGGTGCCAACGGCTGTTGTGCCCCTGCCAGGTTTGAGCTGGAGAATCAGCTGCGCCTGGAGCAGAACCAGCGCTGCCTCTTTGCCAGCAACACGGCCATGCAGTGGCTGGACATCCGCTTGCAGATGATCGGGGTCGCTGTGGTTACTGCCATTGCAGGCATCGCCATCATCCAGCACCAGAAGCAACTGGGAAATCCAGGTGGGCTGCCAGGGATTGTTCTATGCCCACCCCTAGGCTGTGGCCCAGGGGTTCCTCCTCTCCTAGCCCAGAGCTGCCCACCTTCCTCCACTGGGGTAGAATCTAGAGCTCGTGCTCCCTGTCCCTCTGCAAATCTCCCACAGGGTAGTGCTTCAACTCGTGTGTCTTGGTTTGAAAGACAGGTGTCT